CCGGGGCCTTTTGCCACATTACAGCATTGCCACCCAAAGCGCTGGGTTTTCCCAAGAGGTGTTTGGATGGGATTCCAAGCCAGCGAGATGCAAATAGGTCTGACCCACATTCCAGTTCTTGAATAAATAAAAACTCCTAAAGGGCAGAGCCCATTTTGTGTGCTTAATTTGAGAGTCCCACTGTGGACAGTCAATATTAAACAACAATAGGTACATCTGCCAAGGACTAGCAGCATGGGTTCAATTTTAGCAATTAAAAAATACTGGGAATATGCCTGAGGAACCAAATAAAGGTGCTGAAAGGCTGGATCAAGTAATCATAGATTTTTAGGAGTTTAAAAAAAAAAAACTTCGAAGTCATCCAGTCCAACTCTAATTTTATAAATGAGACCCTGAGAAATTAAAATAATGTGTACAAGGATCTGACACCAGCAGGCAACAGACCCTCTCCTGTCTCTCAGTGCTATTTAACTTTATGTCATAAGGCATGGTAAGAGAATGTTTTCAGGAACGTAACATGCCATAAACCGAAGTTGGACTGGTTGGCTATGGAGTCATCATTGATTATGAAATGTCTCTCAGATTTAACTTTTACTTATCCCACTGACCAACTGACCTCTAAGAAATCTCTACTGCTGGCTTTCAAGTTTAACCAGGTTGGTATTTCTCAAGTGTCTCGTTAATTTTGGTTTCCTGAACTCCTCTCATGTCATTCGCCCCCCCCCCCCCAAACCTGCTGGCCCTCCAAGCTCTCTCCACTGTTCTCTCCTTATAATTCACCTTCTCCAAGAAGGCTTCTCTGCTTCCTTGTCTTCCCATCAATGTTTATCTTGCTTTGATTTGCACAGTACTTATGTTCAATTCTTTCCTTCCTACCAGAAAAGATTCATTTGTTGCCTGGCTTTTTCTTAGATCCCCAAAGGACAAGATAAATGGTTTCTACTCACTTTTATTTTTTTATGGTGCCTAGGACAATGCTGTGCTCTAATAAGCACCAAATATTTGTTAAAGGAACAAACCATGTTAACTTCGCTACAAAAGGGAGATTATTGGTAGAAAATGAAATAAAAATCACTTTCATCTGCTAGGCTATTCTGAATTCTCAAAGACCAGCAAGTCACATGCACATGAGTTTGACAGTCTATCAAAAAACTAGTTCAGTGATTGATACTGTATCAAAATATTGGTCCGTTGGTTCTCAACCCTGGCTGCTCACTCAAATCAACTCAGAAGCATTTATAGCTACCAAGACTTCACCACAGATCAACTGAATCAGAATCTGTGCAGGTAGCCCAAGCAATGATTTGCATGCACCACATTGGTATTTGATCATGTATTTATATAACCTCACCCTTATTAATAGACTTTTCTAAAGAATGAGCATGATCAAATATGGTTTTGTTGTTCTTAGAATCACAGAATTTTAGAACTGAGAACTAAGATACTATCTGGACCAACCCCTTTATTTTACAGCTGAAGATTCTGTGACTTAAAGATTGAAAGAGTAGCCTAACAGTGTCAAGGTGATTGTTGAGTGACAGGTCATGCCCTGAATTCATGGAATTCTCTGAACTCCGGTTCAGGAGCTGTAGCGAGTAAACCAAACTGTTCAGTTTTTAAATTTCTGCTTTCTTCTATAGAAAAAATTAGTGTGTGAGTGTGTGTGTGTGTGTGTGTGTGTGTAAGATTTGGATTTTAAAAGCTGTTAGCACCAGGTACTCCTTAAAGACCAATCTGGCACATTCCATCTAGCCCATTGTCACAGCAGAGGAAATGCCACAGTGGGATATATCAAAGTCCAAAAGAAATGACTAGTATTTATTTGCAGGTTTTTTCATTGGCCCCGATCCATAACATTTTATGCTATCAGAGCCCAGTGCACTTCTAGCCCTCAACTATACCACTTATTAGCAGACTTATTGCTTGTGAGCAAGCTAATCAACACCCCGAACTTCCCTTTTCTCTATAAAAAGGAAGATAGTGACTGTCCTATTGACCTTGCATTTTTCAGTTATTAGAAGGATTAAATCAGATGATCTATGTGGAGATATCTGAGAAGAATAAAGCACAGTGTGTACATATGTGTAGAATTCTTATATTACTATCCTTCAGAGCGATGACTTGTGAATAATTATGTGTTGCTTTGATTACCTGGGCTCTAAATCCTAATTCCTCAGTACCATGCCACCCAAGAATCAACAGGAACTGGAGTTAGTGCTGGACTAGAAGTTCTAGTCACTGAAAGTATCACATAACTAAATATTCAGGGAGGTAAAGTGATGTAGTGACCAGGATTTAGCTAGTCTAGGCTCTAGTCCCAGAGTCTGCTTTTAACTATTGACTTTGGACAAGTCACTTAATTTTTCTGGGACCAGAGTCTCGTCAGTGGTCAAAGGATGACTTGAATTAGAGTCAAAGATCCTTTTGATTTATAAAATCAGAATATTAGTGCTTAATTAAAATTACTAAAGTGCAATTTCCCAAGTAGTTAATTGATGTGGTTTCACATTTTTTAAATTTCTTTTTAGAAGTACAGGGTTAGAGCCTAAAAACATAAGCCTATTTCTGGTAAACAGACATTACAAACACCTGTGTAAGACCCTCTTTAAAAGAAAACATCTTGGGGCAACTGGGTGGCTCAGGTCATGATCTCGGGGTCCTGGGATCAAGCTCCACATCGGGCTGCCTGCTCAGCAGGGAGTGTGTTTCTCGCTCTCCCTCTGCCCCTCTCCAGAGCTCATGCTCTCTCTCTCTTGCTCTCAAATAAATAAAGTCTTTTAAAAATTCTGTAAAAGAAACATCTCAACTCAGATACTTTATGCTGGTTAGTGTCCTGTCCTGGTGCCCTTGCTCCAAAAATAAATATATGGTTACCCAAAAGGCACAGAATACACTACTGGACATTGAGTAGGCACCCAAATACCATTACCTTACAGCTCTCAGTTTGAGCCCTAGCTCTTGTTACTTAGCTCATCGGAGCCTGTTTTCTTATCTATAAATGGGAACAATACCTTCCTCAATGATCCATTAAGATAGTGTGTATTAAAATGTTTTTTTGTAAACTGTTAAAAAAACAATTGCAAGATATTACTATTACCTAAGGAATGTAGCTTATTATACCGTGACCTCTCTAAGAAGTGGACTTTTTCAAGAGATAGATTAGAATCTTTGTGAATTCGTTTATTATGGACACAGCACCTACTCCAGTGCCTGCCTCAACAAATATGCTCAATAAATGTCTGCCGCATGAAAAGTATAATCCACAGAAAGACCAAAGGCTCCATGAGCTTAGATTCTATATTTCTTTTTATCTCCAAAATCCCAGAGCTAGCACAGCATCTGACACATAGAGGAAATACAGTAATTATTAGATGAATACATTTTTGTCCCCTCTAGTTCCTCTTCAGCACAGCTCAGGAGGTAGACATGGGCAGAAGAGGCATCAAAGATGATTTCTGGTAAAGGCTGCTTGGAATAGAACTGAAAATTACTTGGGAAATTCACCCACTCTCTAACATATAGCTTGGGAGAGCAGAAAGAGCGTAGACTCTGAGTTCAGGTTCAGTTTCCAAATTGTCCAATCTTGGTAAATTAATCTATTAACCTCTCCAAGACTGTTTCCTCATCTTACAATGAGAACAGTACCTCCCTCATAGGATTAGGCACTAGAATGGAAGCTCCATAAGAGCAGGGACTTTATTTGGGGCCCACTGTATCTACCCTGAACAGTACTGAACTTTATTGAACAGTGCCAGGTACAACCACAGGTTCTCAAATACCTGTTGACTTTGTGAGAAACTGACTGAGAGGACACAGGTGCAGTATGTAACAGAAAAATTGCACATAGTAAACACTTGGCAAACGTGAGCCTCTTTCTCCTTCACTTCCCGCATCACCACTATCATCACTAGTACATCAGTATTATTACACGACTGGCGGGTGTAGAGCAGCTGCCTTTGGGGAAAAGACCCGGATTTAAATCTCTTAATTCCCCATTTACCAGCTGTGTGTCTTAGGGCAAATTACTTAACCTATCCGGGTTCCTTTGCTTCCACAAAAATCTCCGTGTCGTGAGAATCAGAAGCTGCATGGCGACCACCTAACACTGAGTCTGGAACCCCCGCGGCACGTGAGACGTGGCAGCGACTATCACTAAGGCAAAAAAAAAAAAAAAAAAAAAATCATTTTATCCAGATAACTGCCTGCAATTTCCCACATTACTGCTGCTGAATACATAACATGACCGCAAACAAGGGGAGGAAGGAAAGAATTTCAAAGAGACCGAAACCGCTAAACGAGAAAAAGAGGGAATTAAACCGGTGCTTGGCAGTTTCCACCAAGGGGTGCCAGTTTCCGCGACTGTCAACCTGCCCGACCAGCCAAGCTGAGTAGGACGGTCAGCTCCGATAGGAACAAAAAGGAGGCAGAGCCGACGCTTGCACCCTCCCCTAACGGTCTCTTGGCCGCTGGCCTCGAGCGGCCCCGGGACTCCCGTTTCCGGCCCTGGCCGGACCACAGCTCCCAGCATGCCTTTGGCGGGAAGTCTTTCCCGCTGGATGACTACTAATCCCGGCATGCCATTCGGCACTCCAGTAAATTAGATGGAAGACTGGAATGCCCCCAACGAACGCAGGGAATTGTAGTCCATTTAGCTGCTGGCTCTTAGAGGGGCGGGGAAGAGCCGGGTCGCTCTCGTCAGCTGAGGAGAATGATTCATAGAGGAGGGTCAGGAGAGAAGAACAGTTCTCTCTGCAAGAGCCCACTTAAAAGGCTGTACTCTTCTCCGAGGGAGGGAGAGGCAGGAGAGTAAGCGAGGCCTCGGGCCTGGCCCCGCCTCGGGCCGCTCGTCAGGGCTCTATCGAGTCCTGGGCCTTGACGGGGGCGGCCGCGAGGCGCCGGTTGCTGGGGGACCGTGACGTAGCGGGGTGAAAGTTGAGGGGCGGTGACGTCGGCCCTGCCCGGGCGGAGGCTGGCGGGTTGGAGGCAGGAGGGAGGGAGGGAAGGAGGGAAGGAAGGAAGCTGGGAACGAGCGAGCGAGCGGGGGCGCGAGGCGTTTACCTGGAGGCAGCGGCTTGGGCGCGCAGAGCGGCCGCGGCTCCCCCGCACCTGCGGCCATGGATGAGGAGCGCGCCCTCTACATCGTCCGGGCCGGCGAGGCGGGGGCTATCGAGCGGGTCCTGAGGGATTACAGCGATAAGGTAAAGAGCCCTGGCCCCGGGCGTGCGGTGGAGCACCCCCGGGCCGCCCTCGGGGCTTGCACATCGCATCCCTCCCAACCCCCTTCATTCCGGGGATGCGCGTTGCTCTTCCCCGAAAACGTTTCCGGCTTGGGCATGCGTGTTTGTGCCCCCAGCCTTTCCCGTCCGTGCATCCTGCATCCCCCTGCCCCCACCCTGGCGCCCACTCCTCCGATTCCGGCCCAGCAGCCTGTCCTACGGTCCTCTTCCCAAGCGTGCAAGTCACACCCCCGGAATCCGTAGATGTGCGTCTGTGCCCTGTGCCCCACTCTGGGATGCAGAAATGCACGCGAGGCTTCCTCACCTGTATAGCATGAAAAATCCGTGTTTCCGTGCTTAAACACGGCCCTCGATATGCATAAAACCTATCAGCCACGATGGCAGTTCTTTGTATACCTATAGCACTGTACACTTTCCAAGGCTTGATGTCTCCTATATGATCTAATTTGATTCTCAGAGTGTTTATAGGGTAGATGGTGTCATCCTTCCCATTTTATAGATGAGAAAACTGAGGCGCTAAGAACTGAAATCATGCCAAGGTCATGGACGTACTATGTTGTTAAGTGGGCGGGGGAAGAGAGATTCTGACTCCGAATAATACCTGTTATTTGTATCGCATTAACAGCTTTCCCATCCATTCTCTCATTTAATCTCAACGGCAGTCCTGTGAGGTTTTATCTTCGTTTTGTAATTGAGATTCTGTATCGGTTAAGTAATTTGCCCAAGGTCATACTTGTGAGCTGGGATTCCAACCTAGGTCTTCAAACCATTCATTGTTCTTTCCACTTTACAACTCTGCAGTATAAAGGTATCTTGTTATAAATCCCAGCCACTTCTCTGAATGTTTCTCCAAGAACCGTTAGCTCATTACTTTTCCTTCCAGGAATTTTACATGCTCACTTCAAAAGGTAGCATACCACACCTTTATTCTTCCATTTAGAAGACTACTTTATAGAAATGACTGACTACTCACCCCTGTGAAAACACTCAACACCAAGTCTCACCCTAGATATAGCATTTTTCTTCCTTTCACTAGCTTCCACTCATAGTTTCCCTTTCTGTGTTTGCTATGTCCCCACCACTGCACTTTATTATACTTTGTATGATTGAACTGCCAGTGTGCCATTTCTGCCCTGGGTGGAGGAGATCCAGAAATAAAACACCTTCATTTCCATTTAATCTTCCCAGCAACCCTGTGAGGAAAGTGGTGGTATTCCCCATTTCACAAACGACATTTAGGATAATGTTGCCTCAAGTCCACACAGTCATTGAGAGATGGGGCTGAGATTTGAATCTAGGTTGTCTGACAGCTCTTTCTACAGTACCATGCTGCTTTCTTCTTGGAGGATGTATGGATGGATTAAATTCTGTTTGTATCTTAGCTCCTTCACTCTCTAATATGCTTTACTGTTGCATATCTGCCTAATTTAGGAGAAATTCATTTAAGGCATAGGTGTACATATTGTAGAGATTATATTCATTTAACGTGATTTATAACTCCTTTCCAAAAAGAATTTGAGGCAGCTACCAACTGATTTTCAAAAGAAAGAGTGTTGGATCAACTAGTATTTCTTTTGCAATTACTATATGCCAGATATCCAGCAATAAATAGGAAATTTCTTCTCTAGGGAAGGGAGGAGGAAAAACCTCCAACTGCATCTTACCAGTTTCTTCAATATTTCTCCTTCCCTTCATGGCTAAACTGATTAGAACTCCAGATTGGATTCCTTGAATTTATCTCTTCCTCTCCTTGATCTCCCTCCAGATTGGTTTCCACTTAACCACTCCTAGCCAAGTGCTGTCAGAGCTTAGGTTCTGGACATCTCCAGCTCCCCTTTCACATTGAGAATGTTTGTAAAGTTGTAATGCCCAGTGTATATTATTTAAGGTGGTATTCCTGAAGTGCTTTTTGGGCCATGCCTGATAATGCTCTGACTTAACTCAAACCCGGTCAGTCAGCTCCTTCAGAAAAGAGCTCTCATGTTTAACGCTGATTATAGTAGGGCTAGCATACAAAGAAAATAGCTGAGGTTCATGTTGGCAGTGGGGCTATACCCCTCAAGGCAAGAGAGACCTAGGAGGCAGATCAATAGGAAGGGGAAGTATGATTGTGGTGGTCTGGCAATAAAAATGGGGATGTGGAATTAAATTGCCCAGCTTTATGGGATATGAAGTTTGAAACCCTGAAAAAGTAGCTGAATACCATGTGCTTCATTGTCCTCATCTGGAAAAATCAATTTGAGAAATGTTCAGAATAAGGGGTGATTATGGGGCATCGAGGAGTCTAACCAAGAATGGAAATGAATGATGTACAGAGAAAGCGACTGGTTCGTTATTTGGGGGAGGAGGTTCTCTATGCTACTTTGTTTCTCTAATAAAGCTAGAACTTGGGACAGTTCTAGAAACACATCACACATTTGAGTAGGGTATGTAAATATCCTGGACCATGTAAGAGGACTTTTTCCTTTTGCTTTCCACTTTGGGGTGGAGTTCTGACTCTTTGAGTTCATTCCATAGATTTCTGCAGAGGAGCATGTTTAATGGGCTGTTCCCTCCAGAGACTGGAAAGGAGGTAGAATTTAGAGTCAGATAAATCTTGGCTCAAATCTGCCTTTTATTGGCTTCATGGCTATGGATGTTATTTTAAGCCTGAGTCTTGGCTTCCTTATCTGTAAAATAGGGATAACATTACCTAAGTTATCGTGCGTCTTAAATTAACTGAAGTTTAATGCTGTACACTGAGCACAGTGTACCTAGGAGGCTTTTACTCAGTGAGTTATAGTTCTAATGATCAAGGTACTCAAGAGATCCTGTGGCCATAGCGCAGGCTCTGGAGCCAGACCGCCTGGACTCTGATCTTCAACTTACCATCCATGTGTCCTAGGACAAATTATATAACTTTGTTGTGCCTCAGTTTCCTCACCTGTCCAACAGGGACAATAATAGTACCTACGTCATAGGTTTGTTGTCAGGATTAAATGAGTTATATGTCTACAGCCCTTGTAACAGTGCCTGGCAATGAAGAGCCTGTAACTGTTAGTTTTGAACAAAAAAGGCAGGAGTTAAACCTGTAGCACTGAGTTGAAGTAGCCTGATAAAAAAAATTAGGGAGTATACTCCATCCTTTCTCTTTTTCCTTGACCCTTACATTTTCTAATGGGTAGCAAAATACGTTGTACTATGTTTAGAGCACAGTTACCTATCTGGCTCCAGGTAACAACATCTAATTTCTACTGTATTACTGAGACTAATTTTCAAGCCTTCTTCCTTCATTCACTGACCCTTGTTATTCTGGGGAGAGGGAAGAGCCATCTATCCCAGAAAAAATGAAACTTGTCTGTTTCTCAAGGATATAATGCAAGTTGACCCAGCATAGGAAAGTATTAAAAAACAGGAAGAATGGTTGTTCTTCTTCATTTGTCTCAATTCACCTGTTAACCTTTACTGAGTGCTTGCTATGTACTACGTATTATCTATCCCAAGCATTTTCACATGTCATCACATATAATTCTCTTACATTAAAACTTATGAGGGAGATACAAGTATTCTCTTTTGGCGGGGAATAGGAAATTGAGGTTCAGAAAGACAAAGTGGCTATCTATGGGCTCAAGGGCACATAGCTAGAAGTGGCAGACCTAGTCTTTAGATTCCATATCCAGGCTCTTTTTGCAAGGTCATGTTGCCTTTACCCTGTCTACTCTGTGTTTTTGAGCACAGAAGAGAAAAAGGTTCTCAGGACCGGGGCGCCTGGGTGGCTCAGTTGGTTAAGCGACTGCCTTCGGCTCAGGTCATGATCCTGGAGTCCCAGGATCGAGTCCCGCATCGGGCTCCCTGCTCGGCAGGGAGTCTGCTTCTCCCTCTGACCCTCCTCCCTCTCATGCTCTCTGTCTCTCATTCTCTCTCTCTCAAATAAATAAATAAAATCTTTAAAAAAAAAAAAAAAGGTTTTCAGGACCAATACACTACTTCCTTTGGTTACTGTTCGGTCCTAATCACCTCCACTCCAGTTATAGAATGAGCTATTAATTATGGGACATATGGATTGTTCTAATATAGGCTGTCCAGGCTCCTTCTCCTCCTCCTTCAAGGCCTGTTCTGATAACAGATTTAGTAGAGGCGTTCCTGGGTGGCTCAGTTGGTTAAGCTTCTGCCTTCAGCTCAGGTCATGATCCTAGGGTCCTGGGATCAAGCCCCACATTGGGTTCCCTATTCAGCAGGGAGCCTGCTTCTCCTTCTTCCTCTGCCCCTTCCCCTGCTTCTGCTCTCTCTCTCTCTCTCATTCACTCTCTTTCTCAAATAAATAAAGTCTTTTTTTAAAAAAAGATGGTAAACAAAACACAAAAAGAGATGTTTAAATATAAATAAACCCAACTGTGCTATTTATCACAATAAATGTAAATAGAATGTATTAGTTTTCCAGGTCTGCTATTACAAATTACCACAAACTTGGTAGCCTGAAACAACTGAAATTTACTCTTTCAGTGTTCTGGAGGCCAGAAATCCAAAATCAAGGTGTCAGCAGGGTCCTGCTCCCTCTGAAGGGTCTAGGGGAGAATCTTTCCTTTGCAGCTTCTACCTTTGGCTTGTGGCTACATAACTCTACCCCTGCCTCCTTCTCGTGGTCCTGCATTGGGCTCCTTGCTCAGTGGGGAGTCTGCTTCTCCCTCTGCCCCTTCCCTTCCCCCCACCCCCGGCCCCAGCTCATGCTCGCGCGCGCGCTCTCTCTCTCTCTCTCTGTCAAAATAAATAAATAAAATCTTAAAAAATATATATATAGTAGAGAGATTGGTTGCCATCATTATGATTATCAGAACAAACAGTGATCAAGGGCCCCGAGATGTGCAGTAGTATCTTAGCTCCTTGAATCAGACGATATTTAGACTAGAAGGAATCTCAAAGGTAATTAGATCTGTCCCCTTCAGTTAATAGGTGAAGAAACTGAGGCCTAGAGTCATCAATTATGATGATAGAGAGATGGCTTAGTGGCCATAGAGACTACCTGGGCTTATGATTACCCCATAGCAATCTCCAACAGGATTCCATTTTGGAAGTAGGGCAAATTTATGACCAAATTAAAGATAAAAGTTATCTAAGATACAGGCAAGTAGGTAGGTCTCCCAAGAGTAGTCCTCATAAGAGAGGAAAATGATACTGATCGCTGTGAGGTCTTCATTTATGTGCTAGAAGGACCTGATTGATAGGGACCTAATATTGAGACAGTTCTAGAAATACAGGCTACACATTTGAAAAGAGTATGTAAATATGCTGGACCAGGTCAGAGGACTTTTTGCTTTCCACTTGGAGGTGGAGTTCTGACTCTTTGAGCTCATTCCACAGATTTTTGCAGAGGAGCATGTTTAGTGAGCTGTTCCTTTGTTATACCTTGTTCTTGTTTCCAGACTGGATTATATAATCTCTGGCATTTAGTTCTAGGAATAATCTCTGTTCATGAAACACAGCACAACACACACACATACACACACCACCCCAGTAGGCTAATTCCCTTGTATGAGTACTGTTTGAGTGTATCTTCTAAAATGTGAAATAACTCCTAGTTCTCTAATAGGTCAGTATTTGGCTAGATGCCACATCATAGGCCATGCTATAAAAGCAGTAGTGGCCACTTACTGAACACCTGCTATGTGCAAGGTGCCATACATAAAAGATAAGGAAACTCTGACAGGTAGTAAAGTTGAATAACTTGACCAAGGTCACACTTCTAGTAAACAGCAGGACTGTACTCAAACCCAGTGCTGTCTGACTCCTGAGCCTGAGCTTTTTAGAGCCTACTCATAGGATATAAAACCTATGTGGCGGAGTCCTCTTAAGTCTGGTGTGTCACTGAGCTGTTTCTAGTTTACTTGGTCTCTAAACTGAACAATGGTTTTACTCTTTAGTTTATATTTGACTTGTTGCTCCTGTTCATCTGGAAATTAAGCATATAAAGAAGGTGAGGTGGTTGACTCTTGGCTAGCAGTGCTATAAAGGTATTTACAGCCAGAAATGCTGGCTCCCCTTCCCTTCCCTTTCAGCCTTAGAAAGGGTATAGAATAAGAGCTAGAAGTACTGAATATATTAGGTACAATCTAAGTTGTGTAAAAGAAACCAGCCTTAGAGAAGCCAACATCTTTGGATCTAAACAGTCTTAGAGGGCTGAGCTTCTGAATAGATTGGCACATTCAAAATTCAATTTGTATTGCCTCACATGCCAGTATATTTTCTAATTAAATTAAGCACTTGTGTTAGGGCTTTTGAAAGCTATTCTTTCTTTTTTAATGTTGTGGTTTTATGACCAGATCAGCCTTGCATTTAAAAGCAACAGAAAATTTAGTCCTTGGTACTACTCTAAATTATCACCTTAAAAGATAAATTCTATGTAGAAACTGTTTAAAAGATATTTTTATAACTTAATGAGGGTCTTTCCAAAAGGGGATTTCTTTCTCTGTTCCTTTACCACAAATGCCAGAAAAAGTTTAGGAGAACCATTATATTGGCAACTAGGTTCATTTATTCCAGATAATTTATGGATTTAATATTTCACATATAATGGCAACAAAATCAGCTTTCTTGGTCTCTGCAATTTATTTTCATGTGTATTGGACTTTTATTAAGCTTCAGTTTACAACCTTAGCCTGATGTCTGCTGCTTCTCTATCTAAAGTTAGTTTTTATTAAACCTCACTATGAATTCCTGCATTATAGACTTCAGATTTACAACTTGTTCTTCCTTTCTCTTTTCTTTCTTTCCTTGTTCATTAATTCATTTATCTTTTATTTTTTAAATTTCCTTTTTAATTATAAAAATAATATACCAACGATGAATTTTGTCAGACCTCACCAGAAATCCTACCACCGCTGTACAGTTGCTTTTATTTTTGCATTTTAACACTCAAGCCTTTGTTCAAATGCATCCATATACTTATGCAGGTGCTGTATAAGAGACATCTAGCGTGGTGTTTTACTATTTTTCCATCTGATGCCATTATAAGTAATTTTCCATGTTGTTACAGAGATTTTTAGCCATCATTTGGTTTAATTGCAATATAATATTTTATCAGGTGGATGCACAGCAGTTTATTTCATCCGTCTCCTGTTGTTGGATTTTCAGATCGTCTCTTTCTTTCTTCCATAATATTAGATCACACTGCAGTGAATATGCTTATGTATATAATTTTTCTCTCCTTCTGAATGATTTCATTAGGATAAATTCCTAGGAGTATAGAAGTTCTGGGTCAAAGGATGTGAATATTTTTATGTTTTCTAGTACATGTTGCCGAATTACCTTCACTTTTAGAGTTTATGTCAGTTTATACTGCTGTCAGCAATATCACACCTGGATTATTGATGCCCATTTCTTAGAAGGCTTTATGTCTTCAGTCTTGCCCTCCTTTGATCTGGCCTGTAAGCAGCTGCCCAAAATATTCTTCCAGAATGCTCTACCGTTCACACCTCCCTCAGAGTCTTCCTTTAGTTGCCTGTCACCTATCTGGCAGTTCAGGTATAAATTTTTAAATTCAAGCCCTTCTTACCACCTGACATCATCCATTTTAATTGTTTTACAAGCCGTATGTGAGGCAGCCTCTCTTGAGTTTCCTCAAACAGCCCTTCTCTCTTACCTCTAAGTCTTCCCCTGACCATTTCTTAAATTAAGAACTGCTTCTCTGTCAACATTTCTCCATCTCATTTAATTTCAAAAATTGCTTCTTCTACAAAGCTGACAACACAGAACCACCTGTAATGATGATATCTTTAGTGCTTTGGCAACTCCTGATGAGTTGCCAATAAATGTCAGTGTGGCCAATGAGAAAAATACAAAAGAAGGGCAGAGATGTTCAGTGATTTTTTTAAAGGAAAACTTAGGATTCATAAGAGCACTTGGTTCTCCTGAATAAAACTTGAGAAAGAGAATGAGAAGATTTGTGCTTTGTTTTTGGGTACTATCACTGTTTCTGTGACAGTGGGCAAGGTAACTTACTCTGTCCTCTGTTTTAGCTACAGAGTGGAAAATACAGTGTTGCCAGTCATTTGGAGAGTCATGACACTCTGTTCTCCTCTAATTATTTTTTTGTCAATATCATGGCATTATCATCATTATAATCCTTATATTTACTGAGTGTTTACTTAGCGCCAGGCACTGAGATGGTAGGTTATATGCCTTAGCTATTTTAACCCTCATAGCAGCTCTGTGAACTAGGTACCACCTCTTTTCACAAGAGAAATCCAGTGATAGAGATTTTGTTACTTGCTCAACTAGTTAGTGGTGGAGCCGTAATTTAAACCTTAATTTTTAAAGAATTACTTTTCTGAAATACCAATCTATCAAATTTCTTTCCTGTCTACAATTCTGATTATTTCTAACTGCATGTGAAAAAGAAAGCAACATTGGGTCTTAGCGATACTGGAAGACCCTTCCAAATTTCTGTCCAATTTATTTTTCCATTCTCCTCTTTCTCCACTCCCTCATCCCCTCACATGTGTCCTATATTTCACTCTGACAGACCTGTTTATTTCACAATTATATCATACCATTTCACACATCTGAGCCTTTGTTTCTGTCCTTAGCTTTCCATTTGCCTCCTGGCAAACTCCTACTCATCCTCCAATATCCAGCTCAAATGCTCTATACTTTGTGCAAAGCATTCCAGATTTCCTCAGGCAGAGTTAGTGGCTTGGTACTCCGTTCTTTTGTCTGTTTTTCTGCTGTAGTCTTTCCTTTTTTTTTAAGATTTTATTTATTTATTTAACAGAGAGAGGCAGAGTGAGAGAGGGAACACAAGCAGGGGGAGTGGGAGAGGGAGAAGCAGGCTCCGCACAGAGCAGGGAGCCTGATGCGGGCCTCAATCCCAGCACCCTGGGATCATGACCTGAGCTGAAGGCAGACGCTTAATGACTGAGAGCCACCCAGGTTCCCCACTGCTTTAGTCTTTCACACTGCTATATAATTATTTACTTACATGCCTATCTTCCTTTAATATGAGTGTTGAAACAACGTAGGAAGGCAACATTTTTACAGATATATTTTTAAACATAACCAAAATTAAAAATCTGTGTATTTAAAATGACATTGTTTCCCTTTTTTTCCCCCTCAGCATAGGGCTACTTTCAAATTTGAATCAACAGATGAAGATAAAAGAAAGGTAAGCCTTGGTGTTACTCTTTGTGTGTGTATTTGTATGTTTGTGTGTGTGTGTGTGTTTCATTCATGGACTCTTTAAACAGTGAACTTGTTTTCATCTGATGATTTTTAGGTTTTGGTTTCCTTTCAGTTTGTTTTTAGGAACTCTGAGAAGAAGACAAGTACCAGGGTTAGTATGGATTACACCCAACCTTCTCCTGGTCCATTCTCACAGGACCATTATACTTGCATAAATCAGGGGAATGGGAAGGGTTCAGAGGGGACTGTCCCCATATCTTCTCAACTCCAGAGATTGACCTTATTTGGTTGCAGAACTGTAGGCTGCCCAAAATGCATTGCTAGTATTGTGAAGCTTGGCTTTGGATTAAGTTTTGGGAAAGCAGCTGTTCATGCTGCTGCCCCTCAACCACACATTGTTCCCTGTACTAGCAGTTATTTATATTGTCAGCAATTACCTTGGTCACTGACTTCAGAGGCATAGAGAAAAATGGAGTCAAGAGCCTCACCAGTAGAGGAGTTATTGTAAGAAAGGGTACATCAGAGGGGTGCCTGGGAGGCTCAGTCAGGTAAGCGTCTGACTCCTGCTTTTGGCTCAGGTCATGATCTCAGGGTCATGAGATCAAGCCCTGCATCGATGTCCGGGCTGGGCGTAGAGCCTGCTTAAGAATCTCTCTCCCCCTCTCCTTCTCTCGAAAAACAATAAAAAATAAATAAAAATAAATTAAAAAAAAAAGAAAGGGTGCATCAGAGATAAGACCATGTAATGTTATGTTTGCCTGTTGGGGTTGCCTGTGGTTGCTTTACTTAGCTGATTAGAACATGATGCTAAAGAAGGAGCTCACCAGTTCCCCCTGAGCATTTTGCTGGGCCCCATACATCTATCCCTGGCCATACAAATATCAAGACCAAGTGAGAGAATATGACTGAACCAGTGTAAACCTATCACTGCTGCTGAAAAAATAGCTTAAATCCAGTGCTTTGCTGGGAATGGTTTGATAATACGTTGAAATCATCCCTTTATTTACCTCCACCCCTATGTAATATCTACATTTTGTTCATTTTACCTCTTAAGGCTCCTTCAGTCCATTCTCTCCTTAATCCCTGTCCTAATTCAAGCCTTCCCCTGAGTTACTATACCAGTTTCCTGACTGTTCTTTCTTTTTCCAGTTATGTGCCCTTTCAGTCCATTGTCCATAATTTTAAAACAACAATATGATCATGTCACTCCCAACTTCAAAACCCATGAGTGATTTTCTTTGCCTCTAGAATAAGGTCAAGCATCTTAACATGATAAAATACATGTCCAGTGATCTGATCTCTGTCCACTTTTGCAGCCTATTGCATACTACTCCATTATATTTTATACTTTAGCAATATGAAATATTACCAGGTACATCCACATCCCTTCTGTCTCTTTCTTCCTAACTTTGCTTATGTTGTTTTCTACCTAGAATGCACTCTCCTTGTATACCACTTCCTCTTTTCACCTGGTTAATTCCTACTCAGCTCTAGGAGCACCTCCTTCAAGAAGACTCCTCTGGCATTCTGTCAGGATGAAGTACCCCTCTTCAGTATTCCCATAAAATTCTATGTAAATCTCTAACATTATGCTTGTACATTATCTCTTAGTTATATATTGATGTCTCTCGTTGATAGACCCTGCAAACTCCAGTGATAGATACTATTATTTATCTTTATATCCTCGACATCTAGAATGAACAGCACATAATAGGTATTCAAAAAATATTTATTGAATGAGTGACATGGGGTATAAACCGTGAAGGGTAAAGATTTAAGTCTGATTTTCTTTTGGATTTGAACAATGTAAACAAGACTAGAGTACTTTGTAGAATGGATTCTCAACTAGGGATATGCTGTTTGGAGAGCCTTTTCAAGATAGGCCTGCTCAGGCCTGACCCCTTATCTACTGAGTCAGAATTTGGGGGTGGAATCCAGGCATATGTGTTTTTATAAATGGTCTTCAGGAAGTAAGTACTTACACATTTGGTGGGAGTGCAAAATGGCACAACCCCGATGGAACAGAAACTGGCACTATCTACCAAAATTACAGATGCATTTTGCCCTTTGACCAAGCAAGGTCACTTTTAGAAATCTATTCTGTGGATAGGTTCAACCCAAGTAAACATAGTATTCATTGAAGATTGTACATAATAGCAAAAGATTAGAAACAAACAAATGTCCAGCAATTAGGGAGTATTTGAAGAAACTAGGGTACATCTACATAATGGAATACTATGATGTAAAGAGAGAGAGAAGGGGAGGGGGAGAAGGAGAGAGGTATGTGCTAAGGGGACAGAGAGTTAAGTGAAAAAAAGAAGGAGCAAGGTGTTAAAAAGAATTTTTGACAGACTCATGGTAGGTATTCAGGCTAGGGAGGCAGCTGCTATTTTTATTTTATTTGAGAGAATCTATACTATATCTGTTGATTCATGGTGCCTTGGGACTCTGATACTAGAATCTGATAGTGCTTTTACTGGTCAAAATAAGTACATTAAGACAGAGATTCCCCCCACTCCATGTAAGTTTCAGTTGAGGCAGAATAATTCTCCACTCAGTTGTTAATAAAGCATGTGTATTTTCTGTAGGATAGTAGCAAAACATAACATATCAAAGTATTGTTTTTTACTGCTTGCTAGATCTTTGGAGACAGTAGTTCCTGTACCAGTGTTATTTTCAGTGATAGTAGGTAGATTCCTGCTTCCTGGGAGGTCTGATATAAACATATACAATTAGGGACCTAGCTAGCTGTCTTATTAATGGAAAAACATAGGCAAACAAAATCATTTTAGTCTCCAGGGGTTAAAATCATTAGTGACTCTTTCCCACCTAAAGCCCTAAAACTATTGGAATACTCTGAAGGATCTACATCCTATCAGCTTTTTAGGTTCTCTGTGTAGAGACATAGAATAGTAGGCATGTCTCCACATTAAACCCAGTCTGAAAATAAGAGGAACTCAAGTTACTGTCCAATTTGTTTTGCTGCCCTAGTTCTGTTTTTCTCTTTCCTAAACATGTCTCTGGAGCCTTCTTCCCACAGCTCCTTGGTAACAGCACCACCCCTTTCAACAAACTACAGGTGCTATCTTTCTGAAAAACACAATACCTTTCTTCTAAAAACTTTTATGACAACGTATAAGTAAATGTAAGGGAACAGACAGAGCCTTTCAAAAAATAAAACTTGATTATACTGAGCTTTTTAGGAATTGGTTATAAATTAATGATCTTTAGACTTAATTCCCAACACTTAGGTAGTGTTTTATATTTTTACAAAGATTTGCGTTGCAACAGTAATGCAGTAATGCTCTAAGTATGGTGAGAGTGTTGCCAGCCCTATTTTATGGATAAGAAAACTGAGGCTCACGTTAATGACAACTTGCTAACACTCACATGACTAGTAAGTGGCGGATCCTCAAATAGAGGATGGATTTTCTGACTGTTAAGTGCAGCTGCCACTCATTACCACTTGAGGTGTATTTCAGAGGTTTTGAAATTATGACTCACTAGCTTGTTTTATTTCTTATTTCATTCCTTGAGACACCATTTAGGCAACTAGACTGAACTGGAAAATAGCAAAGGAAATTACCAACAAGGAGGGCTTAAGTTTTTCTAGAGGAGTAAAGTCAGATACAACTGTTATATTTTGCATATAGTGCAAATAGTTCCAGGTGCATGTGGATCATTCCAGTTGCCTTACATCCTCTACCTCTAGGCTGTGATTGTTTACCTGCACATAAACAAATACATCATGCAAATAGGTAGGATGGGGGGGAAGTATGATGAATAATCTGAAAATTTACATCTTGAGGAAATGAAATCTCTTATATTGGCTTCTAAAACACAAATGATCTCAAGACCAATAAAGAGTACTAATTGCAATAAATGTTGAAAATACATGTCATAAAATGAGTAAAAGAATTGCAGCTCTTTCACCTGTAAGATAAGAATACAGCCATATCAAATGTGGAAAACCTCAGTTGTTGTCTGAGATAAATCTTTGTGTACATAGCAATTTTCCTCAAAAGAGTGAAGTTAAAAATAGCCAAATTTTGAGTATTTATCTCATTACCTTTAAACTCACATAGATAAGCCCATTTTTTATAAAGGCAGAAGGTAATTGCTGAGTTGAGAACTCTTGAAGAACAAGAACTCTGGCTTAGTTTTCTTTATATATTTCAGCCCCCCATGTGGCAGAAAATCGGCATCTGTAGTAAACACCTATTAAATAAATGGAGGGAACTTGGAGATTGAGTGAAGGCCAGAATTCCTATGACTTGTACATATTGTTTGACTTTGAATTTGATATGCTTTTAATTATATAGCAGAATCTCAATGTAATATTTATTGGAAAAAATGGATACAAAAGTATTCATACAGTATGATCACAATCATGTAAAAGTAATAACTATACAAAGAAAAATGACTGTAAAGAAATTTACTAAGTGGTGGCTGTCTGAATATTATTACTGTAGATGATATTTTTCTTTCCCTTTTCTATATTTAAATAGAAAATTACAGTAGATTATGATTTAAGAATATGGTAATTATATAACATTATATATCTATTCTTCTATAGTAGTATGATTAGAGGCATAAGCAAAGACCAATACTTTTTTAAAATCATTTATTTTCCCTAAAATTGAGCCTTCTTGATTATCTTATATATGCCTTTGGAGGGGAACATAAAGAAATGTTACTGGTTTGGAAATAATATTACTTGTGGAGCCAGTTTATGGTGTGAAATAAATTTATATGAGCATGAAAGTTCATTCTACCATTTGAAAGTTTCTTCTTTTTACTTTTTCTCCTCAGACTTGAATGTACTTGGCATATTAGTAGAGATCTCTGTAGTCCAAAAATATTTTTTCAGTAATTCCTGTGTGCCAAGTCCTGTGTTAGACCTTGGTTGCTAAGTTGGCTATTTGCCTGTGGTGTGTGGTTTGGCACTTTCTTAGCTACAGATGCATACTAAAGATTGCCATT